TCCATATGAACGCAGGAGATGGGTGTCTCAATGGAAAAATAACTGAGTTACATAAGCATATTTGTCTTCTTCTGGAGTATTCACTCTGAGCAGCTCCTTCACCGGCTTAGCCAGGTAACACATATGATATAAGGAGAGTTACATTTAGATTCCGGGGGCTGCAGCAGAAGTTCGGTGGCCAGTTTCAAGAAGACCTTGCTACCAGGAAGGCATTTAAGAATAAAACCTTTCAACTGACCAGCTTCAAAGAGCTCAAGCATGTGCTCAAATTTAAGTAGGATTATACTACAGGAATAGATTTCAGCAGGTGTTTGAATGTCTTTGGGAATACAGGGAACGTGTCCGGCAGAATGGGGGAAGTACACAGCAAGGAGGAAAAAGGATATTTCATATAGGTAGTTTGAATTGTTAAGAAACACCAATGACTGCATCTGGGCTCCAGGCTCCAAAATTTGCGATTTTACATGAGATGCCTAAAGTTAGATCATATGAATACTCCCCTACAAAGTAAGGACTGCAGAAAATAAGAACATTCCATTCACTGATCTTAAAACAGTAAAAAAAAATCCTAACGACTAATATAAATAATAAATAACAAACTCCTGGGACATTTAGTAAACACACACTTAAGATTATAATCAAAGCACCAGCAAATACCTGAAGATTCACGACCGCCCAGTGAAGCGAGTGCACGAACCCGCCCAGCCCAGCCCAGGGCTACAGCTAGGACGAGCATTAGGCAAGAGTCTGGAAAGCGCTGCTGGCTTCCCAAGCATTTCTAGAAGAAATAGCATCTGGGCAAGCAGCCAGCCAACAGGCTCCTCTCGAAGGGCTTGTGAGGGCTATTGCAGAACACAGCACAGTCTGAAATGCTGTAGAGCCAGTTCTGCCGAGTTTATCACATAAAAGAAATGCTTATGTCAGTTATACTGGTATGGGGGGTATGGTTGGGTACCCCAAAACCAGGATGCATTAAATGTTCTGCATCCACAACGCACAGCCATAAATGCCCTCAATAGTTTACTTTCTGTATCTCCACTCCTGATAATTTCCCACTTTAATGTCAGTGGAGTGGATTCTTTGGACAGCTGATATTTTAATTAAAAACAGAGGAAGAGGATTATACTAATGAAGCAGAGCTCAAGAGATCATATTATGTTATTGAAGCTGATGTTCCTCTATCTGTTTCAGCAGGGGCTAAGTCATACTGATTTTTCCAACCTTAAGCTGTTGTCCTCAGTCTTTAGGATGCTGACACGTAGCTCGATTCTGCGCTGTGCCTTCAAATGTCTAATTTAATCATGTGTTTATTATCCATACCAGATGTGTTGTTCATACCGTGTTTCTCGCTACGGATCTGCCCGTGTTTAAGCACACGCTCTCCCCCATCGACTGGGAATGCAAAGAAGAGGCTGCGCGAGGGTTTGTCTCCCAAGATCCACAATCAAGCGTTACCATCTTGCCAACCTGAAGGAGGTATTTTTGGTGTATCTGCCCCAAGCACTGTGCAAGCAGAAATCCAGATAAGTAAAGAATTCTTCTACGGCAGGCTCACGGCGCCGGCGAAGGCAGGAAGCTCACGTAGGCCGGGATGCTGGGCCGAGCACTGCGGACAAATGTGCCCCTTTCCACAACAACCTGGAAGGGCTGCCCTAATCCTCGGCCACGTTTTGGGCCTCAGGGCCCTTCTCCTTCCCTGCTAACCCCTGAGCAGGGCTACGTAACGTCCCCAGGCCCCAGCAGTGCCCCAAGGCAACGACCGGCCTTGGCCACAGACCAAGAACAGAGCTGGGCGGCAGCATCTTCCACAGCAGCTACAGGCGCAGCCGGGTGACCGTGCCGGTCTGCCTGGAAAACGAGCTCGAACGCTCTCAGAGCAGCCAGGATGACACCAAACTGTCCAAACAGTTTTCATTTTAAGTGGGAAAGCTATCAAAACCTTTCTTTGTGTGGTAAAAATCACATCCATAGTTCAGAGAGTTGTCAAGAGAAGCTATTGATTAGCTTTAACTTTCCCATGATCTCTAAAGACGCCTTTCAGCTATGAAAACACACCCAGATTTCATACTTCAGAAGGGCTCTTCATCTGCCTTAGGTCAATAAAACTAGTTTTGTCATTGATTTCTACCACGGAAAACAGGAAGGCTGCAGAGGCAAAACCTCAGCCATTTATAGTAAAGTTCAGGAATCTGTTCACAGATCTACTATTTTCAAGTAAATCCATTCCAGTAACTTCTCATTTTGGCCATACCAAAAAACACCAGACAGACTCTTCTCAGACAATATTTGGAAAATAAGACACATTTGGCAGTAATGTGCAAACCAAAGGAGATGTTCAGAGGAAATAAAATCAGAAGTTGGAAAGGTGGCACAGGCATTCACCAACTTTAAGTAGATTCAGCCAACAAAGGTTTGCAATATAGAGACCAAACTATGAAACTCCAATTTAAATATATTATTTCAACCTTAACACATTATTTCAAGCTTAATGTCTGTATGCAAAGGCTGGAAGCATAAACAGATGTCAAACCACATTGAAAAGCAAGTACTTTGAAAATACTAGGCATTAGAAGAAGGAAGTTTATAACAAATGGCAGGAGTTGTCACAGCACTCCATAGTCCCTTTTCTCCAGGGTAATCTAGAAAAGGAATACTTGAGGTACATGAAGACCAGAGAGAGACCATTAGGTATTTTCTCCAGGGTAATCTAGAAAAGGAGACGGGAATACTTGAGGTACATGAAGAACAGAGAGAGACCATTAGGCAGCTGAAAGAACATGTAGGAGACAACTCCACTGAAGTAAAGTGGGGGAACTGCCATTATCTTTTGCTAGATTTTGTGTCATTCTGCTGCTATCCGATTTTAAATCCCCTCAAAAGAAAGGAAGAAACCTAGAAGGAGGCAATGGGCAGAGAGGGAACATAGCACCCAAGGGACTGGAGTTCAATATGTTGTTCCGCAGAAGATTTACTGCACAATCTCAGGGCAATCACTGCAGCCAGATGCTTCAAGGTATTGAGGTAATGCTTCCTGCAGGAAGGCTTCAAAGACATGGGCAGAAAAGAACATCAGAATTGCCTAAAATAAAATATTGTGATATTTTATAATCCTAGGAAATTAATACAAGCTTTCCTGTTGAGATAACTGCAAATTCAGGTGGCCCTAAGCCTCTTTGCTTTCTACTTCTGCTGAGGGTCACCTGGTTACTATCATTATTTTTCTGTTTGCAATGAGTTTGTCACTCAGGACTATTTACATGACTGAAATTCAGCAAATGTTCAGGGAAATAGCAGTTTAAATCACTAAAGATGGGAAATAGCATCTGACTGCTTAGGGTGGCTAACCCTGAGCTACACACAGGCTTACGGAAGGCAACCATGACCACGGTGCCAGCGCTCTGATCATGCTCTTCCATGTGATTCCGCAGCAATCGGTCATCGCAGGTCACTTAATAGCATTTTGCCTAAGTCATTTTAACTGACAAGACTAGAAAACCAGACACTATTCCTTAGGCAGCTTTCTGAAACGGAGCCATTTATGGGTGCCATTGAATGGTGACCTGGATTCATTCCTTCGCCTAAGTAACCAACAACTGTGTAAAGAATAGCATTTTATGAACATTTGGTCATTTACACATGCAACATGAGCCCTTGGACCTTCAGAACCTCCACCCAGGCTTTTGCTTAAGTGTGGTTGTGTTTTATCACGACTCACTTCTCCATACACGAGCAGTCCTCACTGCGGGTAACACCAGCACCCTCGGGGTGGGAGGCGTCACCTGCGCTGGTGACAAGAGGCCACACGAGGCTGGCGGCAGCCTCCACCTGGCAGCACGAGTGAACATGGGAGAGGAGCCCTGGGTGCTCCCCAGCTCTGCTCTGCCCAGAGCAGGCACCAAAGCACCAAAGCACCGGAGTTCCTCTTGCCTTGCTCTCCACGTCACATAATTACAACACAAACCATCCCTGCTTCTGGAAGCAGCAATGCACACAGCTGGGAAAAACCACAGGACATGAAATAGTAAGGGGAGAAGGACTGGATTCCCTTTCCTTCTCTGAGAGACAACGTTATCTCCATGCATGTTACCTTGGCACAGCAAATGAACGACTTTCTATGACTAAATAAATAGGAATACAATTGACTCACCAGGGTTTTTATGCAGAGAACACAATGCACTAAAATTAAGTAACTTAAATTATCAGCTCTAAGAAACCAAGTAAGTTTTTTTTTTTTGCTAGATTAGCTGTTCATTACCAAAAATACTGCTTTTTCTTCAATACACAAATTGCTACCTAGTAATTGCTGTTGAAACGATGGTACAATCATTTAGGAGGTCTGGGACAGTTTTAATGTGACTCCTGAACATGTGCTCCAGAAGAGAAAGCTGCAGCCAGCTTCAAACACGGAGCTGCCCAAAACCCATCACAGGGAGCTGTTTTGTTTGTAAAACTCAAACTCTTCTGCTGCTTTCCATCAATCATTTGATTAAGCAATAAAACTCACTCAGTGAAAGATCCATGAAAACAGACTCTGAACAAATTGAATTTTCAAGGCAAAAAAACACGCTCCTTATGAAATTTGTTTACAAAGCAGTCCAGCCAATTATTCAGCATTAACTCGTCTAAAATTTCTCCTCTTCTCCGACTGGAAGTGAGAGGAGGAAGCGGATTCCCAGCACACAACATTCAGCCCTCTGCTTCGGAAGTGCCGGGTACCTCAAGTAACTCCAGCGTCGCCTAACGCGGGCCGTGGCTCGGAGCGCTGCCTCGGACTCCGTTTCGGAGCGCTGTCCGGAGCGCGCGCGCTCCAAACGCCTCATGCCGCTGCAGGCAGAGAAGCGCCTGGTGCCGCACGGAGATTCCCACACAAGGGAATGGGAGTTGATTTGCACTCACAGATACCATATGAAGCACGAGTTTATGCCAGTCCACACATTTTATATTTAAATACCGTAGGAAATTAATGCCATTATCTCAGATATAATAACAAAGCCACTTACCAGTCCATCACAATTGCTGATAGCAACCGAAGCGTTTGGCAAATCAGTGATATCCCCAACATAGAGGCAATTCCCATAGAGAGGTTCGATGCGAGTCTCTTCGGAGTCCTCCTGCCATTCAACTGTTGCTCCAGGGGCCACAAGCCTGGAGTTTGGCCGCAACCTGAAGTGAAACTCTCTTCCAAAAACAGTGACATTGTAAAATATTTGCTCGTTTGCCGCTTCATGTTGCGACTCCTCTGCAGCTCTTCGGAAGCGCGCTTTTGGCGGTCCGGACACCAAGTGCGATAGGAACCTGCCCTCTGAATCGGTGCTGGTGGGGATGACAAGGCTGTACTCCTCTATATTCCTCAAAATGGGATCTGCATCGGGAGAAAGGAGGAGAGAGATACTAGAACTCCATGTCTGCTGATGCGGTGGGGTTTTTACTCCGTTATTCCTTAACACAGCAGACACTTACATAAGGCAGAGGGCACGACGCT